TGATACTAATCTGAATATTAGGAAAGAAAATAGGAAGCATCGCAGGAATCATAATTATCATATTTGATATTATAACATTTTCCCTAAACATAATACTAGGAATCATTGTTGTCATTCAAAACATCAACCATCCTAACATGATACTAGGAATCATAATAACAACCTAGACATGATTTCTATATCATAAAATCAATAAAATCAATTAAAGCACTTACTTGGATACCTCGTACCTCTTTCTAATAACAAAATACACGCGTTAGTAACTTCAAGGAAAATAATAAAATCAAACAATTAAATTAAATAATTGAAAGAGAGATTTGGGACCAAACCCTCAGAAATTAAAACCTTTCACGTCTAGAGCGAAGGCAACTTCGAACTTGGCTAGGTGTGTCTAGAGCTAATGTATGAAGAATTGTGTATGCAAAAGCTAGTTTAGAAAAGAGAGAGAGAGAAAGAAAGTAATCAAGAGATTCTTGATGAGAGTTGGTGAGAATTGGTGAATGAAAACGGAGTTTTTAGGAAGCTATTTCTAGAGAAAATCAGCCGAAAAGATAAAAATTAACCAAAACAGAGTTCTGACACGTAAAACCGAGGTTAGCGCCAGACACTGACATTAGCGCCAGGAGCTAACGCTAGCGCCAGGCGCCAAGCTTAGCGTCAGGCGCTAATGCTGGCGTTTGGCGCTGACTAAAATATTGACGCGTTTTCTAAAATCAGATAGAAATTGACCGTACATGAGGATAAAATCGCATTTTCCTCAAAAACATTCTTTTATTCTGATTAAAACTCTAAAAAGTCAACAAAAGTCAATTTATCAATGTTAATTGAATTAGGAATTAAAAGAACCTTCTAGAAGAATCTAGAAGACTAAAACCATTCCTAATTTCATTAGGAATGATAAATCCATATTAGGCCCTCCTCTAGATCATTGGGCCGCATATAAGGCTCAAACCGGGCCCAGTTTAGTAATTAGGCCATAACTTCCTCAATATTCATCGGAATTGGGCTTATAATATATCGTTGGAAAGCTCTTTTCAAGCCCTATCCAACTACACTACTATTGGACCCATATCATGGACCAACCAAACTGGATTGGCTATTTTCTTAAAATAAGTTTTCAAAAACAGAGAGAAGAGAAAAGAAATTAAAACTATCCGCAACACTAGACTTTCCACACTTTCACTTCATTTGATTATGATTCGGCGTGAAAGATACTCATCACTGGGTTTGGTTTTGGGGAGACACAAATGGGTGTCTACACTAATTAGAAATTAAGTGCTAGTCAAATCAGCTGCTCCAGAAACACGCGCCCGATCGGGCCTGCCTTTTTCTTCGCGTTCTCTTCTAAGCAGTCGCGCCCGATCGGGCGCGCCTTGGCCTTGCTAGCAACACCTTAGTTGTGCGCCTGCCCGATTCCACCTCGAGGCTTGGATTTCGATTGGGCTCCAATTCTTCGGCCCAATCCGGATTTCCTCTTCGGGTCTTGAATACTTGGTCCAAATGCCCCGGTGTCCCATATACCGAGCCCTTAATCACCAGCTTGATAATCACCATCTTGATAACTCTAACCGGCCATGGGCTTCAAAAACGGTTGTGCTCCTCCAATATCCGTAGTTGCTCCATGAAAACCCGGGAAAATGCTCCAAAAGTGTAATTTCCTACAAAACTCAAGCAAAACTAAGAAAACACTAGAAAACACCAATTAGTAATAAAAGTGGTTCTAAAGAGCCAAAAACACTACTAATTATGACCAAGGGACGGGGGTAAAATACTATATAAATTAGACACATCAGTTACTTTTAATGTTAACGACAATACATATCATATGGGATACTATCTTACAGATGGTATATATCCAAAAAGGGCACCATTTATCCCAGCAATCAAGCTTCCACAAACCGCTAAACAAAGATTATTCACATAAAAGCAAGAAAGTTATCGCAAAGATGTTGAACGTGCCTTTGGAGTCTTACAAGCTCGATTCGCTATAATACGCCAACCAGCTCTTGCTTGGTCAATAGAAATCTTATGGAAAATTATTATGGCATGTATTATCATGCATAATATGATTATTGAAGATGAACGAGAAAGTTATTTTCATTAAGATGCATCTGAATTTATCGCTGACCAACCTCAAAATGTTGGTGAATCATCAAATCAAGGTGAAAACGAACCATTCATAGTGAGACGTGGAAGATTAGACAAACTAAGTTTAGCGGGTTATATGGCAAATAGAAACAATGTACAAAACAGAGAGATTCATATGTCATTAAAGAAAGACTTGCTTGAACATATATGGCGTCACTTTGGTAATGAATGATGGTAACTAGTAGTCGAAGAAAGCTTTTTTGTTTTTAGGATATTTCCGTTGTTATGTTTTTTCTTATTATTCTTAATCCAATAATTTGATTATAATATTGTTGTTTTAATTTTATAATTATTTAATGTATGTAGTTATTTTAATAATTTTGAAAATACTCATGCTCAACAAGATTAATTTAATAGTTTTTAGAAATAATAATTAAAATATAAGATCATAAATTAATTGTTTTTGTAGGCATTAAAATATTATCAAATTAAGTACCGTATGTAGTGACTACTTTAAAACGAAGTAATTAAAAGTATTGAATTTTTTAACATTAAATCACTATAATTAAAACATAATAATAATATTAATAATTGGTGGGGTATTGATGATGTAGGAGAGAGAATTATGGGGTAACTCACCATTGTAGAAAAATTAGAGCATGGGCATTGGTGAGTCACAAGCCTACTCACAACACTATCTCTCTTCTTCTAAGCTACCTTACCATTGCATACGGTGACTCGTTACATACTCACAAAGAGGGGAAGCAACGTCTGCTGATGCTCTGATGAGTAACTGACATATGCATGGGCTTTGCTGACTCTTTTATAAAGGAATCTCATATTTATTTGTTGGTCCAATTACCACATGACAACTCATCCAAATTGCTGAACATTTGCATGAGATGTTGTTTTAGTCCAACAGCTCTCCAACGGCTCTATTATTTGGAGCACTTTCGTGTTGATATTATTACTCTAACGGTAATTTTTCACTTCATTTAAACATACTTCCAAAAAATAATTTCACCAACGGTATAATTATAATTTTATCTATAAATAGAGCCTAATATTGATATAGTTTTTCACCCTTAAAATTTCACTCTTCTTTTTTTCATTATAAAAATATTTTGTGATTATGGATCTTAATAATCCTAATTACGGAAGTGGTTCCTCTCAAAATAATCCAAATAACCAATCTTCCAATTCTCCAAATTTTCAAAGTAATTTTAATTTTGATCCAAATAACCCTAATAATCCAAATGCTCAAAGGATGTTATTTTATAACATTCCTAACCAACCAACGCATCCAAACCAACAATTTGTACAACAATTCCCAAATCAATTTCCAAACCAAAATTACACCCAACAATTCTCAAACCAATTTTTAAACCAAAATTTGCAACAGATTCCCCAAAATTATCCTTCTGGTTTTATGTTCCCAATGTCGCAACATTATGGTGTGAACCTAATAATTCAAAACAGCCCAGCAACTCCCGAGGGAGAAAGAAGCAGTAACTTAACCCCACCCGATGATCCAAGGGTTCCACAACAAGCCAATGATGATGTTGATGGTGTTGGTGATGATGATGTTGTTCAAGGTCCCCACAGGAGCAACTCTAATGTTAGGGCAGAAAAATGGGGTGCAAAAGAAGATGATGCCCTCGTTTCGGCTTGGGTAGAATGTGCAGTTGAAGATCCAGAGACGGCAACTGATCAAAGTTTGGCCGTAATATGGAGGAACATAAAATCCCTTTACGATCAAGCCAGAGAAGAAAATCCATCCACCATGCGCCCTAGAACTTTAAGATATATTAAAAGTCGGTGGGAAAGAATAAATAAAGATGTGAGTATATGGGTTGGTTGCTATAGTGAAGCGAAAAAAAAAGGTATAGGAGTGGTACCAACACTCATGATGAAATGACCGAAGCTCATGAAATATATAGAGGTACGTGTAATGGTTCACGCTTTGGTTTAATTGGTTGTTGGGAGATGTTGAGAGAGTTAGACAAATGGAAGCCAATGGACCTGTATTTACCTTCTAGTGATGGTGGCAATTCGAAAAGATCAGAACCAGATACTCCAACTGATGAAGGTCCAAAAACTCATACTCGTCGTCGTCGTCCTGACGGGGTGAAAGCATCTAAAAGAAAAGGTAAATCTGTTGTCAATTCTGGAATTCAAATTGGGGGTAGTTCTGAAATTAAAAATTTAGAGTCGTTTACTCAAGCCCTATCAGAGATGAATGTAATGAAAGGTCAACACAAAGATGTTGATGAAAGGCGAATTGATGTAGCAGAACGTATGCTAGAGTATCAGAAGGAGCGAGATGCCATCAAAGCTCGGAAGAAACAAGAAGAAAAAAGGTTCAAGCTATTTAGTGTCCTTCTTGCAAAACCAATTCTATCTGAAGAAGAAAAAGAAATATATCTAAAATTAAAGCAAGAATTTGCACATCTTCTAGGCTAGTTTAAATATCAATAATAATATAAAATTAGCTCAATAATGAGAAATGTTGTAAAATATGACCGACATGCAATGCTACATTGAAATGTCACATGTTGACAAGAAATCTGTAAGCAATAATATCAGAGAATCTCATCTTTTACTGTTTTGTGTACCCGTACATTGAATTGTCATACAAAAGAAATCTACAAACCTTATCAGAAATGTAATCTTTTTGAGTTGTTTATCCATTCAATGAATTACCAATATAAAAAATCTGTAAACCTTATCGAAAATCATATCTCATATACTTGTGTGCCCATATATCATAATAATTACCAGCCATTTTTTTGAATAATTTTAGAAGTTATAAATAAGGGGTCTACACTTCATATTTCAATACATAAATATAAGTATTATTTCTACAAAAAAAAAATAACTCTCTCTTCCTCTCTACCAAAAAATATTACAAAATGAACTCTGATTCAAATTCTTCTAGTTCATCTAGTTCTGGGTTATTTGATTACATGGTGAACGACTATGTAGAGTGGCATGAATCAATTACCCAAAGGCGAAAAGAAGATGAATTGATCGAGGAAGCGATCAATACAGCTGTTGTTCCCTTTGTAACATCAACTTATCAGACCCCTTTCACTCTTGAACCTACGTACCAAAGGTGGTATGTACCAAGAGATCGAGAATATGCTGATATTCAGTTATATAATGATTACTTTAGTCCCCAACCATTGTACCCTGCTAATATGTTTCTTCGACGGTTTCGCATGCGTAAGAATGTGTTCACACGCATTGTTAATCAACTAAGAGAAAGTGATGTTTACTTTCAACAAAGGCCGGATGCCACCGGAAGACTAGGTGCATCCCCTCTCCAAAAATGCACTGCAGCAATTCGAATGTTAGCATACGGTACATCTGCCGATGCAGTTGACGAGTATCTAAAAATCGCGTCAAGTAATGCAAGAGAAGGTCTGGCTCACTTTGTTGAAGGGGTCGTAGCTCAATTTGGACCAGAGTACTTGAGGAGGGAAAATACTATGGATATTGAACGGCTCCTCCGTGAAAGTTATGCTCGTGGATTTCCTGGTATGATGGGCAGCATTGATTGCATGCATTGGGAGTGGAAAAATTGTCCGCGTGCATGGAAAGGAATGTATCAAGGTAGAAGTAAAACAACAACGGTGATCTTGGAGGCTGTTGCTTCGCAAGACTTGTGGATATGGCACGCTTTTTTTGGAACCCCGGGTTCTTGTAATGATATAAATGTCCTCCAACGGTCGCCGGTGTTCTCTGATATATGTGAGGGAAAAGCTCTAGAGGTTACCTTCAATGTCAACGGAAATACATAAAATATGGCTTATTATCTTACAGACGGTATCTATCCGAAATGGGCAACATTTATCCCAGCAATCAAACATCCACAAACTGGTAAGCACAAATTATTTACCAAGAAGCAAGAGAGTTATCGAAAGGACGTTGAACGTGCCTTTGGAGTGTTACAAGCTCGATTTGCAATAATACGTCAACCAAGTCTAGCATGGTCGACCGAAATTTTATGGAAAATTGTAATGGCTTGTATTATCATGCATAATATGATTGTTGAAGATGAGCGAGATGGATATTTGCATTATGATGCAACTGAATTTATCAATGATCAACCGCAAAATGTAGCTGAATCATCAACTACCAACAACAACCAACCATTTACTGTGAGAAGTGGACGATTGGATAGGCTCAATCTAAATGGTTATATGGAAAATAGAAATAATGTTCGTGATAGGGAGACCCGTATTGCACTAAAGAATGACTTGGTTGAACATATATGGGGACGTTTTGGCAACGAATGAAGAGATGACAAAAGTCACTGTTAATGAATATTGTATTTTAAATTTTAATGGATGTCTTTGCTAAATAAACTATGTTATTAATATATTGTATTATTTTTGTACTTTTCATTTCAAATATTAGAAAAAAAAAATTATTAATATTGTACTATTTATAATGCTCTAATTAAAAAGAAAAAAAATTAAAAATGTCTAACTTTTTTTAATTAATTATGTAAGTTCAAAAATTACAAATAAATAATAGAGATTAATACATGTTTTAAAAAATATAAAATAAAACAAGAGTGAGAAAGAGAAAATGATGGGGTAGTTAGGAGAGAGAATGGTGAGTAACCTCACCATTGTAGATAAATAAATAAGGTGACTCACACTAGTAGCTTAAGATAGTGGAAGGTGAGGTGGAAGATGATTTGGAAAAAAGATAAATAATAAAGATAGTTGAAAGTGAGGTGGAGAATGGTGAGTAACCTCACCAATGCCCGTGCTCTTAGAAGAGTGACTTACAATGGTAACTCATCATAGTGGGAAATGATGTGGAGATGATGTGGAGATGATGTGGAGTAAAAAAGTAAGAAAGAGAAAATGGTGAGCTAGCCCACCAATGTGGGTGCTCTTAGTCTCACAATAAAATACTATAATATCATCTTATACAACGCGATGTCAGAGCATAGAAATAGAGACGAAAGATGAGTACTAAGAGCATCAGCAATGAAGAGTATGCAACAATCCTTTCCCAATTTCTCTCCTTTCCTCCACTTGACACATCACACTCTCTTTCTTCCACATCACTTCCCACTATCTTCATCCTTTTACTTATCCTCTTTCTTAAATATTTCCAACACCAATGAGTATCCTTTCCCATATACTCTCTCCTATTTAGATATACCCCACCATATATTCTCTCTCCTATTTACACACTTAATTATTATTTTAGTTTGTAAAATATGTTTATTATTATTACTATTATTATTATTATTATTATTATTATTATTATTAATCGAACAAAAATACGACAACTAATACATTTTCACATTAATATACAAGATTAGTAAAATACGAAATACATGAATTAAAAGACATAAATTAAAAATTTGAAATACACGGATGAAAATAAGCAACGAAAATAACACACATAATTTAAAATTATTAAAATGCTAATTTCCAACCGAGCTCCTTGACCTTGCCCATAAATGCTCAACCAAGTCGTTCTTTAATGTCTCATGAACTTGTCTGTCGCGAATCCCCCTCTTGAAGCTATCAATCTACTAAAATTATCAGGATCATACTGCCAGGAGTTACGGTAAATGTTGTTGCATTTCTGTTTGAGGACGACCCTGGCATATTTTAAGGCTGTTCTTGAGCGAATTCTAGAGTGGATCTTTATAGTTTAAATATGTATCACGCTCGTCTTCAAGTATCATGTTGTGGATGATGATGCAAGTCATCATGATTTTCCACATCAACTCTACACTCCATGCCAAAGCAGGCTTCCTAATTATTGCAAACCGAGCTTGTAACACACCAAATGCACGCTCAACATCCTTTCTAGCACTCTCTTGACGTGTAGTGAACAATTTATCCTTTAAGGTTTGTGGGACTGCAATAGCGTCTATGAATGTCGACCATTTTGGATAAATCCCATCTGTGAGCTAATATCCTTTGTTGTAATTATTTCCGTTAATAGTAAACAGAACTTGTGGAGCACGATTATTTATTATATCATCAAACACCGGAGAACGCTGAAGTACATTTATGTCGTTGCAGGATCCAGGCGTCCCAAAGAAGGCGTTGGTGTTTTTGGTTTTCTGAAATAAGTTACCGTTAACAAGTTATAGCCGTTATAAAGATTTAAGTCACAAAAAATACGTGACCACTCTCGTTGTGACAAGTGTCACAAGATAACTTGTGCATGTTTGCCATTTGACCGTTGGTTTTTGACGTTGGTTTGGCATTTTGCCTCCAACGGACACATTTCCCTTTTTTTTTTCTTTTTCTGTTGTTTGCTTTTGCACATGAGACGAGGCATTGTTTCCTTTCCACAGAAAGGAAATGCTAGTTTATTGTCCAAGAGAGGATCCTTTTAGCTACTTCAGCATTCAAGAGGAATCTAAAAAGTACAAAAAATGATGGCTAAAAGGAGAGTAATCCTCTCCATTGTTGATGCTCTAAGGCTGCCACTCTACAATCTACACCATATTCACCCTTTATCTTACCACATAAGAATGTTGATATCTTCCAAATCACATCCCATACGAGTGCAACCAGCCAATCCACCACTATATGACACAGTAAATACTTAGTTTTTACGTGCAGTGTTACATTCTTACATTGCGGATTGCACTACTTGCTGTAGCCTGGTTTCTTAATCTGCTTCACTTAGCTCAGTGATATCATTGCTGATCTGAAGTTATACGGGTCGCTCTATAAATAAAACGGCTGGAGCATTCTTCCGCAAGAGCTGAGACAATTGCCACCCAAAGTCGCCACTATAACTTTATAAGTCATTATCAAGGATAGTAGAAAATACAAGGGACTACATGAACTTGCATTTTTGAGCATTCATCCCCCTGCCATTACAGAATATAGTCTACTCTACTGGAAATTCATCAGCTCAGAAAATTATAAGCTGCCGCATTGGTTTCCTGGGAGGGTAAAGATTTGATTCTATCACAGTAAGCTGTACTGAAATCATATTTTACTTCAGAAAGTTCTCACGCTCACATCTGACTTATATGGTTCGGCTTAGTCTTCAATGTTCTGCCTATTACCGGTATCTCATGTTTCAACACTTTCAAAATGAATTCACTAAGTGGAAAAAAGAAGCTTAAGTGCATTAAAATGCCTTCACATGAACAGCCATCATGTCTACTCTATTGGCACACATCAATAGGAGTTACCAAGCACTTTGGAATAGATCAATTGATAAATGAGTTATTGACGTACAAAGAACAAGGGTAATATAACAGCATAGTCCAGATTATGATTCTTTTCAAACCAAACTAGATACCCATATTGTGTATGGATATTGGATAGAGAAAATCAAGCCTGGAAAATATAAGTTTTCCGGAGGCTTTGCTTATCTACAGCTTGGGTAAAATCTCCTTTAGTATACAGCAGACTACAATGTAAGGCAACCCCAATGTTCAAATACATGCCTGACTTTACTACTCTGGAGCATTAACAATAGCCACGGCGCTGATAAAAACCTACACATGTCAAGGTGAACTTGGGTTAGGTGTCCTACATACTGCACCCTCTTCAGCATAGATTACAACAGAACAACCACAATAGCTCATAAATCCATGAACAGACAAATATGAAGCAATCAGGTAGTAAGATTTATTTACTGCATTTAATATGCAGCAATTTCTATGGGTATTTGTAACAGAGCTTATTCATAGATCAAAATCAGTATAGCATGAAAACTGTGAAACAGCCTGATACTGTTAGAAAGTGCATAATATGAACACAAGTGGAACTCCTCTGCTTTTTAGCTTCTTAGTTTGTATACAAATTCAAGCAACTGGAATTATTGCTCAACTGTATATAAGTAACAAACGTTACAAAAGAACAAAAAAATATATTGTATGTCACACAGCTCTCTCTCTCACCCTCAAATACTGAACAACCACCAAATTTCGACGAAGGGACAAAAAAAACACCCCAGTAAAAAAGATCGGGAAAAAAAAATGAAGGGGCAAAAGTTGCTCTTGGATAAACAATCAAATTATCTACTGCTTTCTATTTCCAATTCTCCGTTTTGCTTCTGCTGATATTGGTTGCTGCCTTCTATTTTTTTGTATTTGACTTCCGTTTGGTAGCTTCTTTGATGGTGAGGGGCTTAGAGCAGGAATCATCGACTTGCTGTAATCGTAAATATTGCATTAGCATGCATGAAACAGTATGATTAGATGAAGATTTTGATGGGAAAAAATAGTAGTGTGAACAAAAGTTCATATTTTTTGAGCTTTGAATAACAAATTTAGAGAAGCATTAGTGACTTTCTTTTATACAGTGAAGTTAACTGCTAGTCAGTGCTTACCTCAAATCTGGACTCTTAGCAGGCCTGCCATCAAGTTTCTTGGACTTTAACCCAATACTACCATTGGAAAGTGTAGGGAGTTTACTATGATTGAATTGCCACAACAAATCTGGCTCAGACGAGTCGCTTGTGGCAGCATCAAGCTCATCCAAGTCATCTGCATTAGTCACTTCGAACTGATTACTTCCACTGAACATACTATACGATTGTTCTGAATATAGTTTGGTGTCTTCTGGAAAATATTTTGGGTAGAAAGAATCAGCCAAGGGTCCATTTTCTGCGGTTTCCCAACATAAACGATTCCCTACTTTCGGAAGTGAATCTTGTTTGTTTACCATAATCTTGTCTACCCATTCACCAGAATCAAGGTCCTTCTCATCATATCCATACTTTTGCCCAGGACTATTTACAGGGGGCCATGGAGGTGAGTTTTTCAACATTTCGTCGAGATCAAAGCTTTGCCTTTTTTGTCTTGACGCAGACTTGTTACAGACCTGCAAATTCAAAGATTAGATTCTCCAACAATTATATTCTTGTCTAAGAAAAACCAGCATGACCTCTTCCATCATATCATCACAAACACCTTTTTATTGCAATTTAGAGTAGTAGTATTCAGTCTGTCTATCTAGCTTTTTGTTACGGAGTATTTAAACAAGAATGGCTTATGCAAAGAGGTGTCTCCATATGTAATGTCAAAACAAGAAGGTTGGTCATAAAGAAACAACCACTCTGAACTTATAAGTAAAACACAGCACTTATAACTTCAGTCAGCTCCAGCACTACAAAATCACGACACTTGTACATTTTATCCCTTTCATATGCTCAATTTATAATGATGAACTTTCTTAGCAAGATTCATAATGTAGCCATTATAATTACCTCAAAGTTGGCTATATCTCCCATTGATTGTTGATGTCTACTCACATCAAACAATGTTCCGCCATTTTGATTGGTACGAAGG